AACACCACAACCGATGGTTATATTTTAACTAGTGATCGCCACAGCATGGATGCTACTAAAAGCCAAAATAGGCAAAGGCCATGGATTCTTAGAGGGATAGAAAAGAATGACAAATACAGCATCAGCACAGCGCAAAACTCAAGTAGGTCCGCTCTGTGGTCGGAAGCCCTATCTTGAGGGAAGCCTCATCTTGGTTCCTCATAGGTCGATATAGGGTTTCATCTCAATTTGATACACCTCAGACAGCTACGGCTGTTATCTCCATTAAGCGGCATCAAAAACTAACGCGGAGAGGTACAGCAGTTCCATCTACACTACTGAGCATTTTGAAATTGTTCTCCACAGCTGGAGCAGAGAAGCTTTTCAAAACACATTGATACCAAACCCAGAAACATTTAATTTTTCTTGATAAGAATTACAACGTCACATCGCGTGACAGGCAATTTACACTTGGAGATGTGATTTCCACTGATGAGACATACCTGAGTAAAAATATTGTGAGTCTGGCTTAGAATCCACCTTCCATCAGCATCAGGAGCTACTAATAATTTCAAAGTCCCTATGTAAACATCAGTACAGAGGGTCCAGAAATGTGGATCATGTAAACTGTAAACTCCTTGCAACTGCTGCACCTAAAAAAACAAGCAGGTTTTTAAAAATATATTTCAGAAAATGTTTACCTGTACTATGGTTTTTTTACAGAAAATATTATAAAAGCCAATACATTCTTTTACTTCTAGTTCACTGTGCAAGTTGATATATTTCACTTAAATTCCTTATTACGATCTCAGTAATTGTAAGGAAGGTGAAAACATACAGATAGTATGTATGCGTAATGATTTTCTATCTTGCTGCATTTACATTCTACATATATTTTGCTGAAGCCATTTCTGAAAACAGTGGTGTCCAAGAGAGAAACGTCAATTATGAAGTTTGAGAGGGCATTCAATTAAAACAGCAATTTTTGCAAATGCAGGAATTTTCCCATAAAACAATTTGTGAGAGATTCTAACTATTAACAGAAATACATTAGTATTTCGGTGAATATTTTGTGAGGGCTTAGTTTTGTCCTGTCAAAACCCTTCTTTTTCCTCTGTCCAATTTTAGCAAGCCCTCCACGTGACGATAACAATCCTGTAACTTCCCGAGGAAAGATGGCACTCCTGCAAGTGCTTTGTATTAACTTTGCAAAGGCGCTTCAAATGTTCGGGTCGTGACACAGTAATAGGTAAGTTAAACAGGAGTACCGGGAGAGGTCAAATCCAGAGTAATCCATGTACTCTTATAAATACACAGCCAAAGCTACTCCACCTCACTTTACTAAGAGCTAGATTTTGAGGGAGACAAAAACTGAACAAAACAGAGAAACATTATGCACTTTGTATCAGCACGAAATACTTCCGAGAGGAAAAGCTTCAGGATCTATTTTTCTAAACCAACACAAACTGAGTTGAAGCCACATACAATTTAAGACTTCGGAAAGATAAGAATCAAACCGGTACCTCCATTCGTACAATCTAAGGAACCTTTCACAGACATTACTGGAAAAACACCACAAAATATCCTCGTACACACAGTTGGGGCTCATTCAGTCAGCAGCTTGATCTGAGCAAAAACGGCCTAAGAGCTCACCCTCTGGTAGCACTGAGGCAGGGCGTTTTCCAGGGAAGGAGGAGTTCGCTGCATCAAAATTCCAATGGATTCTCTTAAAAGTGGAACAATACTGGAAAGAAAAAAAAGGAAGTTAGCTACTATTAGGTTTTCAAAAGATGCAGAACAAAGAGCAACATAACATTCCTTAATGCTCTTGAAGAATTTTTCTTCGGTTGTTTCACCAGAAGCTGAGAAAGTTGCCATGAAAACCTGGTACAGAAAACACAAGGATTGACAAAATTGCTATGGTGTCTTACTAAAGGCAAGATTACTTCTCTCCCAGATTTTCCACAGAGACAACTGGTGGACAATCACAAAAGATTAATAGTTTAATCATGGGATTTGAGATGAAATCTCTTAGTGTCTTAAAAGTTATATGACAAAGCAGCTGATAAGTATAGCTCAAAACCAAAACCTATTTCAATGGCACTCACTCACAACCAACCATAAAAATATGCAACTAAAATGGTTTTTGCTTTTGTGTTTGGCTTATGGCATATTTTTCTTATGAACTAAGATAATAATGGGGAGATCATGAAACAAAATTAGTATGGACCAGTCCAGCTATAACAAAGTTATTTTGTCAGAAACAGACAACTTAGCATATTCTTGAAGTGAACTAAGTGTAGGGTCTCTTCCAAGCTCAAGGATTAAACATTTGGAAGCAATTAGAGGTTCTCTCCCAGCCAAATGGTCTTGTTTAATCAGCAAACTAAGACGACACTTAATACCCTTTTTTATTATTATTACTTTCCTTTTTTTTTTTTTTTTTTTTTTTTTTTAATAAAACCGGGAGACCAGTAAGCCCACACCCTGAAGCTACCGCTAAAAATTTATACTCTTACTAAGTATTCAGTATGGTGATTTTTTGTTTAGGAGTAGCGCATCGTGTCTGGCTCAGTAGAGCATCCTAAAATTTTCAAGAGGATGACAAATATCTATAGCCCAATACTGAAACTTAAATAACTCTCTAATTTCAAGAGTCTGTAAGTCACCTAACACTCTAGACCAAAAGTGATGATAGATTTTCAGAAATTGTAAGCTGAATGTCAGTGTTCAGCACTGGCATCACAGCTGGAGTACACAGAGTGATGGGATAAAAAGCAACCAGAAAACATTTGCAAGAGATTAATTGGGCCGTCTGTTAAAGGAAACCGCAGAAGCTTTGTTTAAAATCTCATGAAGCGATGTAGAACGCACTGCATTGACCAGCTGTATATTTGCAGACGGTGAACAGCATGACCTAACCATTCCTTTCCATTTTTAAAGAGATGGTTCCATTTGTACATGGAAGCAGTGCTGGCTGATCGACTGCTTGGCTCACTCCTTGGCTAATCCTTAGCCAGGGGGGTGGGAGGGAGTTAGAGGATGCATGACTCTTGTCATAGAATCATTAAGGTTGGAAAAGACCTCTAAGATCATCGAGTCCACCTGTCAACCCAACACCACCATGCCCACTAAACCATGTCCCTAAGCGCCTCATCTACCCGTCTTTTAAATACCTCCAGGGATGGCGACTCAACCACTTCCCTGGGCAGCCTGTTCCAATGTTTAACCACTCTTTCAGTAAAGACATTTTTCCTCATGTCCAATCTAAACCTCCCCTGGCGCAGGGGAGGTTGTCTAAGGAACACCCGGAAAAAACAACCACACCAAAATTAAGTTTCCTTGCAAGCACACTGGTTATTCCAGCCAAATGCACTGCCTGATGCACTCCATCACGTGGCCTCACACAGCTGCACTGCTACCGAGGAATCAGTTCAGAAATAGGAAGAAGCAATTAGGGGCAGGCAGGAGTTGCCTAAACTGGACCTGTCACCAAGACAATTAAACATTTAGCAATGCAATAACTGTCAGTCTGTCTAAAGGAAGCTTAATTGGAGCGTCACGTTCTACAGACAGTGGATTACAGAACTTTAGGGAAAAACGTTCTCTTATCAATGGATCCATCTCACTAAATAATGTCCATGTCACAAGCATTACATCAAAGGGAGCTGGAGCTGCCAAAATACTCCATTGCTGAATTGATTTCAGTTTAACTCGCTATTTAAAATGCGGGTTTGCTTCTTAATAAAAACCTTGAAAGACCAATACACAAGTTCAGGATGCAAACTGAATACAAGATTTTTGAACACTGACTCCATCCCCATAAATTGAACAAGGCCCCTCTAACATATGCATCCAAAGGCTTCAAAAAACACACACGTACAAGCTGCATATTTTTTCCCAGGGAAAGGACTAAAGGAATGGAGAATGTAGGAGCTTGCCTTTTAATTGGAACATACCACTAAGAGTGGAAAAAAAAAAATCCATTAAACAAATCTAACCAAAAAATGTCTGACTTTCACAACTTTTTTACATTATTTGATAAAACTGATGTACATTATCTGATGGAATGGAAATGAATCGGCAAGTAGGAGAGAGACTTGGAGAGACAGCCTACGGAAGATTTAAGACTAGCAGGTTGGGCATGTTAACCCATTCCAAAAAAGGATTTGTCAGTGAAACTGGTTGATTCATTCTGGAACAGGATGCACATTGAAGAGAGGAAGTTAAAACTCTGTTAGAGAGCTCTTCAGCTGAAGATGCATTTAAAATTAAGATCTGCTTCATTCTGAAAACCTTGTTGCCTAAGAAACTGATCTTCCAAGGTTAAGCCTATGCAATCAGCAGGGTGTGTACAAGCACCAAAGACTGTCTCTCCTTGCCAGGCGATAGGGTGCATTAAGCAGCATGTATTGGAACCATTAGCTCAAAATCAACTAACACACAAAAAGGTGAAAGGGGAAAGACACTCCACTCCTTGTATAGGTGGTACAGCTCAAAAGATCTGGTCTCCCCGCTGGCAAGATTTCACCGATTCATGTTTTTGTAACAGCTCCACAGTAAAGCTTTAAGAGAGAAACCTCCTGCGCCAAGTTCTGGCAATAATGTTGCACAAGTTATGCTTTTATCCAGACTTCACAAAAAAGCTAAAGCCATGGTGTTTACCTGAAACAGCAATATCTTAAAAGTCCAAAGAATAGAGGTAAATCAGGATGTGGTTTGATACTGTAGGTGAAAGTTGAAGCATATACCAGTCACACCTCCCTCCTCTAACTTAGACACAGTGTTCAGCTACAAATTTATCTTTTGCAAAGCTGAAAAGGCCAAGACAGCTGCAGTGACGTGATATGCCCTCACAAATCCTGTTAGAGCACAGAAGCCCATGCACACATCTCTGCGTCCAAAAGGACGCTGTCTTACAAGGTAGTCTTTTATTGTAAGCCAAACTAACAGGACAAACTATAGAATCCAGTTTTCTGATGTCTCAGGTTTTCAGTAGTATGCATGAAACAATGGAAGTACAAAACCTTTAATTAAAAACCAAAACTCCGCACAGTATGCTCTTTTCTCAAACACTAACTAAAAACCAGTATTGCTTAATCACCAGGAGGCACTAGACACATTAGTTCCGTCTCACGTGACTGAAGAAAACGCTAGGAAAGATGACTATACCCAGCAGGCTGAAAATGTGCTTAGAGAATTTGACCAAGCTTTCCTTTTTTTGGATTAGTCATGAGTGCAAAATATACACGGTTGTCTCTGCAGCAACTATTGCACTGGTACTTCCCTCTTTTTTTTAATTTACAAAAAGATTATTGAGGAAGATACATAATGCTGAATTCTCACCAAGTGGGGAGTTTTTCATGAATAAGCAGTCTGCAAGCTTTGCTGCTATACCAGACACAATTTTCCAATCGTCTCTGATTACCAAGCCTTGAATCTAAAATATCACACTCTTTTACGAGACAATGGAATTTGAAAGAGGCGCTAACCCACACCAAGACATGGGACATAAACATATACTCTACGAAAGCCGTAATAGCAAAAGCAGCTAACGTGTGCAAAATGAGTTAGCAGCACATCACACTTTCACATAGGCTGTTACAGAGGAAGCGAAAGGTGTTCAAAACAGATAAAAGCTATTGACATGAATCTGATAAATCCAGCCTGCCACTACTACACATGGCTTGATTAACAATGAAGAATGAAAGCACCAGACTCTCAATCAACTTGCATCACATTCAGATAATACTCATACCCATTCCAGTCCCATCCTGTTTATGCCACTGGTTTTCCAGGCATAGCTAGCAAGACTCCGGCACTACCATGATCTTGGACAGCAGGGCTGAAAACAACTCCAGGGTAAAGAACCCTTTACACAGTCATTGTAGTCAGAGCACAGCAGGAAATTCATTTAGTGCTCTCAGCACTACAGAAAGTAGAGGATACTTGTGATAGATTTTGTGGAAGATAAACAAACACACACTGCTAAGACTCAAGACCGGCTATGGTTCTTCAAATACCATAGCTGAAAATCTACAGCCAGATTTCAAAATTTTTTTTTCCAGCCACCATCCACATCTGCAGTGCCAAGACTGTCAGCCTATTTCAGAACTTTAACTTCAATAAAATTTTTCTATTAGGCAATGGCAATTTTAACCAGACTGCAGGCTTTGCTCAAGATCAGGATCACAGGTTTAACATTTACTTTTCCTATTTTAAATTGTCTGTTCTCACAATAATGTAGTACTTTGATTCTCAAGCAAGGCTGGCTGGTACCATTACCCTGTAAATAAAGGTAGTGCATGCCATTTAGCAATGATGGCTCAAAACAACACCAACAAGAAGCATGCTAGTTTGGGGGAGTTTTGCTACAGAACATTCCTTCGGAATCTTAGTGAATGCAGCACTTCATTTAAAAAAGTAATTTTTTATACTGTTATGCCCCAAACATTATAGGCATATACCGCAAACATTACAGGCATGTCCTCCCCCAAAGCTCTTTCATATTATAGCACGTTCAAGCAGCTCTAGACCTTATGTAAAAATGAGGTAACCCATGGAAACAACTTCACTAAATGACTGAAGTAAATTGCCTCATTTCTTCGACCACTTAATATGTACTCTGCATACTCTATCCAATCTAGTATCATATTTAGTCTACGGTGCCTTTCTAGAAACATGTGGCTCTAATAGTGGTTTCGGACAAACTTCTTGCTTTATACTGAGTTGTGGCTTTTGCTT